AAAAGAGACACCTGTGCCGACAAATTACTTTATTTACCGCTGTATTCCATATGTGAATAATTATAATTCCATAGCAGCATATTGTTTGTCTCCTACTACTCATAGTCTGTAGTGAAGATCAAAGTACATTTGACATAAGTCAATTTTTTCAAAGTTCTGCCATTAAGCTCGTAATAGTGTTATTTATTAAAAAAGCCAGTGCTTATAGATAATTGTGGTATTAGGCTGTTTCAAGAGGTGCCAATGCGCGTAGATGTTTCCACCGGTAAGTATTATTATTATTATTATTATTATTATTATTATTATTATTATTATTATTATTATTATTTTGTTGATACAATACTGTCACTTTGGTAGGCATTGGTAGGCAAATGAGTCAAAAATATGCACAAAACAACGTAATTTTAGCGAAAAACAATGCAATGCAGACATTCTAATCTATTCTAACCCATTTGAATTACATAGCTATTTGTTTTGTTAGCCTTATGTTATTCTCGCATGTACACTATTAGTTAAGTCACCATTATATTGCCCTATAACTTAATTAGTATGATGAGCTGTTATCTATTAGTCAATAAGTATGCATTTTTTAATGTCAAGCCTTACTAACTTTAGTGTGTTTTTAAAAGAAGAATAGATTTAGGCTTTTTATATATCTCGATATCTAAAACATTTGAACTAATTTTGGACCAAAAGCTTATAGACAATTCACACAAGACATGTCAATTAAGCACCTCATATAAAAGCGTGAAAAATTTTTCAAAAAAGCCAACGTCGTAGATATTTTTCTTATCTGTTTCTTTATGTAGGACTCCGAATATCCCAGTTTCGACGCCTGTGTTATATTAGCATCGTAAAAAAATGGATGGTATTGTTTATGCTGTTAGTACGTGTACAACATTTCATTTCGATATCTTTATTCGCCCTGGAAATATATTTTTCATGAGATTAAAATCATAACCTCAACCATCCCGTGTCTCGGTAATGAGAAATTTTAAGACTCTCGCTTTTATATGATTTTTCCATCTAATTCTTAAATGATTAAAAAACTGTGACCGAATTTCTAGGAAGCTACCTTCCTACCTGGAAATTTTGCCACAGTTTTTTAATCATCTTGTAGTACCTCTTCATTCCGATGTAATAGCGAATTGATTTTACCTCATACAATATTCATGTTCAGAAGGTTAGCGAACCTAATGGTGGTGTAATTAAAAAAGTTTCGGTCGCGTCAACACATATTTTACCTGATTTCTGAAACTTTAAAGGGTTTTTAATGGCTGTTGTTATTACGTTACGTCTTATTCGTTATTTCATTCTGAATTATTCATAGACGACTGGAAAGCACTTTTCAAGAAGTTATAGCGAGGAGACATGTAAAGTCAAAATCGGTAGATTGAAACAAGTGGGAGAAAGTATTTTAATTAAAGTGTGAAGTGCTAAATGATATGTCTAAATGAGATTTACAATAGATAATGGCAGCCAATAGACAGCCAATGATGTAAATTATCAACCTGCATCTGCTTATTTTTCGTGAATCGGTCGATTAAGTCTAGAATGTCTATGGCCTATAGTTTTTGTACCCAATCTAACAGTGCTTAATGCGATCTCAACTTATTAATTTCATACAATATAAAAGCTCACTCACAGCGATGTTTATTATGATCCCCAACCTCCAATTTTCAATCGCTCAAAAAAAAAAATTAAACCGCGAGTTCTCTGCAACGTAACGTCGAAAAACAAAACAGCGATTTTTATTTCTTTTTTCGTACCTTGTGCGTAGCTCTGCCGCCACTGGAACAATTTTCAAAACAAAACTTTTTCAAAAACCACATATTTATTTGTTTTTAGCATAGCAGTAACGTTATAAGAAAATCTGATCAAAATCCAAGAGGTGCTTTCCGAGTTATAGACAGGTCAAAGGATTAGCGGACAGACAGGCCCACAACCATATCGACGCGAAAATATCATGTAAAACTCAAAAAACGAAAAAAATTTGCTTAAAGGTGCTTCCTCGTCAATTGGAGTGGAATGTAAGAAGATCTGAAGAAAGCGAAGCATAGTTCTATCCATATTTACTTGACTTCCGCTACCAGTCAAATCCACGGCTACCAGTGCGCGCTGTTTGAACAAGACATTCGGTTTCAGCCTTAGCATTACACAATTTTGACTTTGAAGTTGAGTCATTAATTTTCAGATGATGATTGTAGAAGGAAGATAAACCAAAATATGTGTGTAAAAATAAAAAAAAATAAAAACAAAATTTACCTTGTTTTATAAAGTATCATCCCGACAAGTATTTCAGTGCGGACCTGTATTTGATCGTGAGGTCTTGGAGCACCGGCATGCCGTCCCCTGTGAGGTCTTAAGTCACCTGATTCACGAGCCCGTTGTACTACATTAACAAAGGCACGACGGGTTGGTTGCACTCGATTGGGAAACCGATCCGCATAAACATGTGCCATTTTTTATTTCGTTTGAGCCACGCAACAGACACCACTATTCACTCACGCGTTACCGACTGACACTGACTGTATACAACTGAATAAAATAATTGTAAAAACATCGTTCCAAATTCTTTCGCTTTTTTGTTTCCGATGCGATGAACCGATAAGGCGGATTATATCCGTTGTTGCCAAACACGAGCACATAATATTATTATTGAGACAGGGCGGTACTCAAACTTCCAAAGGGCTATAACTTTGTTACTTTAATTTTACCAGAAAAATGGTAAAGGAAAAAACATTTCTTTTGATCAGATCTACTCACTGTTAAAATAAATGACTCAACTTCGAAGTCACCCTATAAGAAAATATAAGAAAAATATAAGAAAATTGTATCCGTTAACTGAACTTTGGCATTACCACAAAAAACTGTAAGCTGAACATAAAAGCATACAGTATGAACAGAAATGCAAATCGGTCTTGAACTGCAAAGAAGTGATTTGAAAATATGATGCGTTAATTATGGGATACCTATTTAGTGACTAATAAATAAAAAACACGTAATTACATAATCTCAGATTGATGTTATTCTTCTACGTAGCACCTGAGCGTTTGCTCAACATGGTCTACAAACTTTAAGGTATTTGGTATACAAGCGTACGAATAGTGTACCGGTCTCACAGTTCCAATTTTTTTGTCTAAGGCCAATATAAAATGTTCAAAAAACGATATCTTACTTTCTATGCCAACGTAGTATTGCGATCATGCCCACAGTTTCTCGGAACTCAGAAGTTGTACGACTATGAGAATCTATGACACTCATTAACGATAATCGTAGCTCTCCTTGTCACTGCATAATTTCAGTAACTGCAGGATTGACCATGATACTTGAGGCGAGCTATCATATGGCTAGTAAATACAGTCTGTTTGAGATGAAACGCATTCATGACACGGTCATTAGCAAGAAATGATGCTAAAATAAAGCATTCTTAAAGTTCGTCATTAAGAAGCCTCTTAACGAGCACCTAGAACTTAGCCGCCATGGAAATATGAAAACCATTGCCATATATTGCTGAATACTCTATTGCCGCTAGATAATGCAGTAAAAGTATGGTCCGTTTGAAAGCGCCATGGTTTATCGTTTTCGAGTTTCAAATCACAAATATTCCTAATCATTTCAATAATTTCCAAATTTTTAATCCTTGTTTCACTTCCTATACTACTGACGAGGAAGTATTGAAATCGAGGACTGTCTGTCAGTCGGTCTGTCCGCTAATCCTTGCTGAGTCTATAAGTTGGAGAGTACAGCTTGGGTCTTGATCAAATCTTCACACAAGCTTACTGCTATGCCAAGCACAAAAAATCGTTGTAGTTTTTGAAAATCTGTCCGGTGGCGGCGCAGCTTGATACAAAAAAGCTCCAAACCTTCGCTTTTTGATGTTTTAAGTCTGACGAATTTCAAAAATCTTTTGGAGGGATTGAAAATTGAGAATATTGTTCTATAGGATTTTTTAACTTGCCTAATTCCTCTGCTTGACATGTCAGTAGCTAACCTTTTTTCTCAGGGGATCTAACGTAACTTTTATTTTATTTTTATTTTGTTTATGATCTGGATAACGATTTTGAATGGATGTGAAACTTTAAATGACCCATTTTTTCGAATTCAATCATGCTGACAAATCAAGAAAGGTTCCTTATTGGAACCCTAAATCACAAATGGTCATCTAGATCTCAGGAATTAAATTCATGCAGGGGCTACTTAGATAATAATAATAAATATAATAAATCCTAGCATGAATATAAAACTTGTCGAGTCTGGCCACCTTAGCACGTAACAATTCAGCAGCTTTCAAAATGTAACTCACGATAGATCAATATTTAACAAAAAGTTTGACACCATCTATACTTAGAAGTGTTTTGCCTTGAAATCACTCAAGGAACGTTGATATTTTTTGAGCAGCCCGTATATCTATCCGGATAATCGAGGAATATCATAAAAGCTTGTTTACTTATTCTCAAGGTTTGCAAAATAATTATAATTCATTATGATAAAACAAAGCTTGGCATAGACGTTTCAAGAAAGTATGTCATTAGAAACTAACTGAAACAACAAGATGGGTGGGCACAACTGTTTCTCGAGACTCGTTAGTTGAAATTAAGCTTCTAAGTAACAACCAAAAATCAAATAAGCAAATCGAGATACCTATAAGGTACTACTTTGAAATGAACAGCCTTACTGGCGAGACAATTGCAAAAATTCTAATTTGCCTCAATTCTAAATCAGTGCGGATCATTATTAAGCAGCTTTCAATGTCGCAGTGTCAAAACACAATTATGTTTGTTTTCGTTGTAAAAGCTCTTCCATATTGTTTTAACTATTACTTCGAATTAAATATTGTTCAGACGGTACATTGACTGGGAAAACCTTTTCAATACTATTACTCATAAGTTTGCCCATAATAGTCATATGCCATAACGTTCAATAACAATTATCGTTAAAATACAATAACTGCAACTACAAACATGGACGCGACAATGCGACGATATCTACAAAAAAACAAGTAAGTTTCTATACACGGCTTGGCACACGGTCATCACCGTCCACCAGGTACGCCGTCGATGGTACGGTACCATCCCCACCCGCCCCTTGCCTTCCGTCAAGCGACTTTGAGCTCTGAACAGTACCTCCATACTGGTTCTCGTGCATCGGGTACCACCGTGACTCAGACAGGTAACAACGTATCCAATTTTCGCAGCCAAGTCAAGTTAGCGCACCTGTTACGCTGCGGTACCTCTTTTTAAGCTGATATGTAGTTTACAAGGGTCTTGCCCTTTAGTACTACCCATCTGTGATACAGTAATAGTAAAAAATGCGAAACGGTAATCCGGTGCTTGCGATAACGGTGACTTTAACGTGCGCGGTGACCCTTGTGGAATGCGGCATCACCCTTGCAGGTGTCAAATGCGGGGTGAGAGAGTGCAAATTGGGGGAATACTGTTCGAGCTTTCATAATACTTGCGAGTCTTGTGCGGAAATCTGTGATCCAAAAGGTCACAATTACGAAGCTACTGTTTGCGAGAAGGAGTGTCAAGGTAGGTATGCAACATACGAGGTGCCGCGGTAGTTCCATGGTCTCGGAATAGACATGAGGTTAAGATACTGGAACGAATTTACCATATCTACTTCAACCATAACACTGATACTCTGCTTTGAACATGTCACGGACCAAGAGGTATAAAGCTCTTTTTAGTTCGCAAGTTTCTGGAAGCTGTCTTGGATTTAGTGATTTATCTCGTGCATGAAATGCTCTTAGGTGAAAATCTCGGACACGAGTACACTAAAAGCATTTTTGAGATTCTTGGTGGGAGTACGCTCAGAATAATTCGTATTAAAAAGAGTACCTATTAATTTTGAACGTTGTTGCTTTTAAATTGTTTGTACTTTATTAATTTTCATATATTCATGTATGCAGTTATTTGGGCATTATATCAGCTTAAAGATCTTATTCATTCATCTCTTCTAATATTGATACTGATTTTTACTTAAGTGATTTAGATGAAACTCTGAATTTACGGTAGGCGTTAAGGTACTGGCTATATCCAACTTAATCACCACAGCGCGGCGTTATCAAATTTCAACCTGGTATATCGCCACCGGCTGCTTTGTGGGTACCAAGAAGGGACTTTAAGACAAACAAAAATTACCACTTGCCTGTTGATAAGCAATTTCAGGGTCTGTAGCTATGAAAATCAACCGAATGTGGAACTCACAAGAAATAAAGTGGAAGATGTAACATGTTCCTGTATAGCTCTAGTTTCTATCCATCAGGAAAAAGTACAACTCGCAGAATTTGACAAAGAAAAATATATTCCAGTTCTTGTATAGTAAATATGCTTCAATCAAAAACTTTGGTTTTTGTTGTTTTTCTCATATCCATTGAGCAAATTTAGAAAATTTACAAAATATGTTTCGTATATACTTTTAGTAGGATATAGCCAATACAGATTAAGTCTCTTGATTTCTACTGTCGATTCACAGATTTTCGTTTAAGTCGCTCAAGAAATTTAAGAAAATTAAAAAATATCTGTATTAGAACTAATGAACTAGCACCCTGTATCTCAATAATGATGCTGTAGAAACATAAGTTTGCCCAAACTTTTTCATCGGTTTTATAAGATCTACTAGCTGATATACAAGAACCTGCATAATCGTATATAAGGAAAAAGAAATTAAAAAAAACTCATTCGGCGAACCTGGATTCCGAATATTTTCGTGTTTTAACAGCTAACGGTACTCTACTGGTTTTAATAACCGAGTCTCTACTAAATATCATAGTTTTAATGGGGAAATCTGAAAAACTAGGAACAGGTGGTGCTATTGAGGCTTGGGGTCATACCCGTCATTTCTAAGGTTATGAATAGACAAGCATAACAAATGCTGATCAGATATTTCCTTCCATAGAGATCAAAACGTGAAAAACAGGTTATCTTTATATCAAATATGTCTTTTTTCCATCAACCTTTGGCAGCTTTGACTCCCAAACTCAGCGCCGTCAAGCGAGAGCCAAATCGGACATCGCTTCCATTGAAGGTTATTTTAGTCATCCAAAATTATTGAATTTTCCCAGAATATAAGTTTCAAACAGTGAATCCCGAAAGCAGATGTATTAACCCGCATCCCAAGCAAAATCCTTTGAGACGCATGGCTTCAAGGTTTGGAATCTCGTCACCATGCTTGTGTATTCTGGTTTATGCAGGCAGCTCAAAAGGTCTAGTCAAATCCCAAGCCTTGCTTGTGTCAACACGGGTTGACCGGCAAGCTCACAGGTTTCCGGTGTGTGATTTGTTCTAATTTGTCACAGTCTGTTGTATTTTAACATCTGTCCATTCTCAAGGTGAGAAAAGTCTCAAACCTCAAACGTTCATTGCCTCTACCAAAGGTGTCTTAGAAAATAGCAAAGGACATTAATTTCTTTATAATATGAAGGACCAATTTAAATAGTCGTGACGCAGTAGCAAGATTGTGAAAACATCCAACAACAAATAATACACTTACGGAACTCGCGTGTATTTTGATTGTTACCTTAGATTTAACCACCACATCAGCAAAATTATAAACAATGCGTATCGCACATGTGGCTGCATTATCACAAATTATAGGACTTTCAACATCGCAACACTCCTTGAGTCATCTCCAGTGCTTGTCGTAAGTAAATTAGAATACGGCACAATGATTTTTAGCCCTATTATGAACTTTATCTCCTCCTAAATAGATTCAGTGTGCCCTCCTTGGAAAAGCGCAAAGAACAACGGTCTTATTCTTATACAAATTATTACATGATAATATAGACTGACCTGTTTTACTGCCTAGTACCCAGATTGGTATCCAGGAAAACGCAACATTTTACTGTAAAAGGGCACAGACTAATCATCTATCGAAGTCACCAATTAACTTTATATGCAGTTATGTGAACAGGATTGGTAGCTATTATGATACTATCTGTTGTTGATTTCAAGAATTAAAAAATACTACACACTCACGTTTTGACTTTCTCTTTTTCATTTCTCCATTGTTATTTCCCATGCCTATTGGCGAACTTTTTGAAAATGAGATATATTTTTTGGATGTTATACAATATTTATATCACGGAAAACCATGTTACTCATTTCCGTCGATCTGTCTGTGTGTCGGTCGGTCGGCATATAACTTGAAATGTTAACACAAAGTTACTAGTATGCGAAAAACGAAAAATTTTTTGAAAATCGGTCCAGCCGCGGCAAAGCAAAAGTCCTAAAACGAAAAAAGTATAAATCGCCAAAACTTCGTTTTTTGACGTTACAGAGCATCCTGATCATTTGTGAGATAAAAATTAGAGGGGAAAAGCTTGAGAGTGGGGATTGTAGGGGAATGGGGAGGGTTTGTTTTTCATGTTAGTACATTTATATGCTTCCAGCCTTGGTAGTTCTACGCACCCATTAGACAAATTTCACACATCATAGATTTCTCTTAAAACGAAAAAATATTCTTGCCTGACCGAGTTAAGCATGGTGGAGAGACGACGTTTCCAGATGCAAGACCGGTAGGGCAGGAAATAATGTCTATGGACCTGTTTACTGACTTTTTTTGCTCAGAGTGTCTAAATTGAGCTGAAGATAATCCTTTACGAACTGATTACGGCATTGCGTGGGAAGCGGAGATGCAGTTCTATGTACATGTCCCGTGGGCAATGAATGTCTTATTATTATTATTACTATATTCGCTTGTGAGTTGACAGCGATGACTTAACTTTCTTCGTTCCCACGATACTTAAGGCAACATGGTAATACCAGCCCACCACCACCTGTTGCTATGTTGACAACAAGCCTCTTTTATTATACTTTCTATCTCTCTACTGAATAGAGAAAATTCTTATGCGTTTTGCTTTGTATAAGCCTCATATCAGGTAGAGCCTCTGATGGACCAATTTTAAAGACGATACGATAAGCTCGATTAGCCATTAAACTACTGAAGTAGGTATCAGCTTTGTTCGGGTGCTACAAGGAACTGTCGGAGAAATGTTGTAATATTATGTAATAGGATATCTTGATGTCAGTACCTCATTGCGATTGGCTACTGAGAGTTCAGAGGAGTTCTGGGCTGGTTCCCTGTAGAAACACCAAAGAAGCTGATAGACGCGATTTTGACATGTAGACAATGTCCAGTTACGTCAAATTATTCGTCCTGATCTCTGGCAACCTTCCAAATTAACTCACTTTTTACTATAAATTGCTTACAGACGTATTTGTTCTCTGAATTGGCATTTTTTAATTTATTGTATCCAAACTGAAAATGTATTTTTTGACAAATTTCATGATTGTTTTTACTGTTGAGAATTATTCTTCATGAAAAGACAACGACAATATAAAGGCGTAAATTCAGAACTTATTTCCCTTGTAAAATATTAAATTTGTTAAGGCCAGATTCTATGAAGTCATGTCAGGAGCACAAATGCACAGCTAGTGCATAAAGCTTTACAATGGAGAACTTTCTATTTCATTGTTAATATTGGATATGCGTTCCATATAAGCATACTAATACCATTTTTTCCTACTTATCAACAAAACAATGTCCACTATTGAGATTTTGGTGCCCTAGAGTTTGGAATCTAGATACTGTTATCAACTATTATTTTTAGCGATAACCTGAATGAAAAATATGTACGCGTAGTAGTTATTTATATCTTACTCGTGTATTCTTCTACATTCTTATTCTTCTGATTCTTCATATGTCGGTATAATAAGGATATGTTGTAGCATTCAAGATTTGTCCGGAAAGTAGTGGGACTCATTTTTTTCCGCCATGACTGTACTTCGGACGGTGCGCGCACCGACTGGATCCGGTAGAAGGCGTTAATAGCTAACGAATGAGCGGCTGATCAGTTGTCTTCGAGCACTTGGAGAGTCAGGACAGGCATTTTCGCGCGACGTGTTTCTGTGAGTGGTGCAGGCCGAAAATGCAGCGTTCGTTAGAGCAGAGGTACACGATTAAATTCGGTGTGAAACTCGATAAATCTGCGACAGAGACGTTTGATATGATCACGCAGGCTTACCCAGGTGTTGCTTTAGCAAGAAGTGGTGTGTTTCGGTGGCACCAGGCCTTTTTGGAGGGCCGGGAAGAGGTCGCTGATGAAGACCGTGCTGGAAGACCTTCGACTTCGACAAACACCGATAATGTGACTCGTGTGCGCAAAGTTTTGAACTCAGACCGTCGACTAAGTATTCGTTTAATTGCCCAGATGTTAAATTTACCAACCAAAATCTGTGGTTCATGAAATTGTGACACAGCATTTGAACATGCGCAAGGTGTGCGCGAAGATGGTCCCAAAAGTGCTCACTGACGACCAGAAATTGCGGCGAGTGGAAGTGTGCCAAGAAAATTTGAACATGTGTGAAAGTGACCCCCAATTTTCGAATAACGTAATCACAGGTGACGAGTCGTGGATCTTTGAGTATGATCCTGAGACAAAGAGGCAATCTTCTGAGTGGCACACGACGGCGTCTCCTCGCCCAAAAAAGGGAAGAATGAGCAAATCCAAAGTGAAAACGATGCTCAT